TGACAAAATTAGTACCAAAAAAAAAAACCACAACAACCAACTTCCAGAGACTTAAGTTATTTTTTGTAGGAACTTTCTTTCTGAGATGCCTCAAAATGAAAAGGAAATCTCAAGTAATGTGTTGATAGGGAATAAGATAATGTTATACCCAACAGGTTTTTCTCTACAAATCTTCAAAAATCTTTGCTGAGAGGGACTGTCAGAAATAGAGCTGAGTAGCTTAAAAAATTAAATGACACCTTGTATTCTGGCAAATGTATGGTGGGAAAAATTAACTACACCTTCTGAAATAAGCCATTGGATATTTTTGGTTTAGAAATTTGAAACTGCCAGTTCTAATTACTTCCTTTATTTCTTGTAGTGATACAAAAGCTATGCTTCCATTTCCTGGAGGACACCTGCCTTGCACTGAACACTGCATGAAAGAAAAGAAAGATCCTCCTATTTTTTCATGGTCTGTATTGGAAAATGTCTGTGCTCTCTGGAGCTGAATGAGCTGCCTCCATGTGAACAAGAAGGGTCACATGAATCACCTTACAGGATTGGGAATAGAATTTGATTATGATGAGAAAAAAACACCCACAGTGATTTTCTAAGACTTTCAGTAACTAAAAAGCCATTATCAGCAATTGTATTTCTGGCAAAATGGTTCCTTGGTCCTTATCAGAAGCCTTTGCTGGAATCAGAAACGTGCCTTTTAGAGGTACAGAGAACGGCGAGGACATTCTAAACCAAAAGATATTGTGAAACAATTGCAATGTTCCAAATACAGGGTATGTTTACCTTCTATGAAAATGCAATTCCATCTCTGTGCCAGTTTCCTAGCTAACGTTTTCTTTCCAGAACCCTTAAAATGAAAAACACACTTTTAAAAGAAAACCAGGCTGAATAATAATTTAAAAAACCCACAAAATTGCAAACACATCACACAATAAAGAATATATTTTATATGATAAAAACAATTAAAAGATACCACTGGGATTAGGGCCTCTGAGTTATGCGCTGGGTAAACACAGAACACTCTTTTAATACCATCCTGTATTGTATACTGCCTAGCATTGCTAAAATACTGCTACTGCCCTTTGCAGTTAATTATCATCAAAGTCATTATACTGACTTTGTTTCTGAGTAACTCTATCTGAAACTCAGCTATGATTTGCCCACATATTCCTATGAGAAGCCCTTTAGGACTGAAATTTATTATCTTCAGCCTCAAAGCAAATTATGATGCAAAGCCACTCAAACCTTTCTGAGTAGGATACATAGGGATAATATTCTTTGACTAAAATAACTGCTTAAAACCTGCCCTTGTTAGTCCACAAATTTGGTTTGATACTGACAAAATGTTTATTTTATCATTTATGAGTCCTGAGGAACCAACATAACCGAGAGTAATGAGGCACCTAAGAGTACAGTTACCTGAATGGGATTTTGCATAACTCACCATCTTCCATCTTTAGGACTGTGTCCCTTTTTTCCAAGGGCATATATGAAGACCTGTTTTGACAGTCTGTTTGCCCCAGAAGAATTTTGTGATTAAAAAATAGCAAAAAACCACAAATAAATCACAATTCCCAGTTAACAGAGCATCAGCAAACACTCCAGCCTACTCACACCTTAAATCTTACAGGTGTGATGTAAGTATACATATTTGGTTTTGATTTAATGGCACTATGCTTTTAACTTAAAAAAACTATCCTAAATAAGATAGGTGCTCTACACATAAGTCATATACATAAAATATATTACCATAAAAATAGACTATTTGATTTCCTGTTTTCCTGGTAAGGCCTGTACAATTTTAACCCTTTGTTAAAATTTTTACTAATGTAAAGCATCTACTGCACACAATGATTGAGAATATGGGAGTATTTTTGTATTGTCTTTCAATGAGCATTTTATGTTGGTTTAGTCTGAAAAATGTAAAGTTACCTTTTTCATGTGAGGTTAGAAATTTAATGTTTGTTTAAAACTAGACACGTTAGATCAGTGTAGTTTTCTGCTGAGCTAAGCACACTCTTTTAAGTGCATACAGCCATACAACATGTTATACGGCAATCTTGTACCAAAAAAATAACTCCCATCAGCAAACTAAGGCACTAATGCAACCCCACACAAAGTCTCCTACATTTTGTAAAGGAGAAAAATCTGAGAAGTTTAGGATTATAAAACATCACATTTTCCTAAGTACAGGAGGCCACAAATTATTTGAGAAAAAGAGAGACCTTGAATTATAGTTGAAATGAGGTACAAACCTTATCGGGATACCTTGTTGGATTTCAGATGTTCCCAAATACATGATACATAACTATGTCAGAATTCTAATATTAAGGTTAAGATATGTAATATCTCATTGCACATCTGTAATTCAGTACATTAACCTTAAGGTTCTTTTATGGCTATTTATGTCTTTAATCCATCAAGTCTTTTTAAAGTCAGAATACTTAATAACATTGTTCTGCTTTTGGCTGCAGTAGAGTTAATTTTTTTTTCACAGTAGCAAGTATGGGGCCATTTCAGATTTGTGCTAAAAAAAAAAAAATGTTGATAATATAGAGATGATTTTGCTGCTGCTGAGCAGGGCTTACACAGAGCCAAGGCCTTTTCTGCTTCTCATACTGCTACACTGGTGAGGAGACTGGGGGTGCACAAGGAGTTGGGAGGAGACACAGCTGGGACAGCTGACCCCAACTGACCAAAGGGATACTATATGGCATCGTGCTCAGCTTATAAAGGTGGGGAAGAAGGAAGGGGGGCACATTCAGAGTTACGGTGTTTGTCTTCCTAATTAACCGTTTTGTGTGATGGGGCCCTGCTCTCTTGGGGGTGCCTGCCCATGGAAAATGGTGAACTAATTCCTTGGTTGGCTTTGCTCATGTGCATGGCTTTTGCTTTATCTGTTAAACCGTCTTTATCTCAACCCATGAGTCTTTTCACTTTTACCCTTCTGATTCTCTGTCCCATCCCACTGGGGAGAGTGAGTGAGTGGCTGCGTGGGGTTTGGTTGCTGGTTGGGGTTAAACCACCACAAAAATAAACACAATCCAGTTGTCTATGTGAAAAGAAACTTTCTGAGCAACACGTAACTTAATTGTACCTGACTGATCACTCAGGCCAAAAATTGGCCTCATGAAATGAAATCGGACTCTTTACCACGCCGAAGGATTTGAAGAGTGGAAAAGGTGTTTGTTTTGTAGGTGTTTGATCCTTTTGGCACCATCGCTAAACCAATGTTTTGAAAGGAAAAGTAAAATTGCTAGCAAAATATCTGAATTAAAAATTTCTATCAGACATCTTACTGGTTTTCCAAAGACAATTAAGCAAGTGGGCTTGGACAACAGAAAGGATTTTTCAGCTTCATCTTCATCAAAGATGTCTGTAAAGGGCTGAGCTTGTTTTTCCTCCTCTGAAACCATGTATTATCTAAGACTGGGAGAAAAATACAGTAGTTACATATGTGTAAAATGACTTTCAAATGGAACTGAATTACAAGGTAAATGGCTTTGTAAAAAAAAAAAAAAGCTGTTACAAGAAGAAAAAGCATTTAGAGAACATTCACAATTGAGAACATGTCCATTACTAAGAGAAAAACCACTTCTGAAAAATAAGGGATTGTTGGAACTGCCCCTGAACCCCAGCTGGAACTTTATGGCAGTTGATAACAACTTTTTCTTGACTCTCAAACTGCCTGTTGCTCTTTTTCAGTTGCTTCACTGCCTTGTCCTTCCTCCTCCAATTACCACACAGTCTCTCTGGCCCCTGAAATGGACTGTAGGCCTGCTAAGACCTTCACTTGTGAGCTTCACACACAGAAGGGCCCCGTCATGGTCAGTGGAACCACACGTAGGTACGTGAATAAGGCCTTGCAGGATCAAATCACTGTTCATAATCTGTCCACTCACAAATCCCAGCTTTTCTAGGACTGCCAGAAGCTGCACATTCAGTGCTATGCAACAAATTAAAACCCAAACAAGTTTCTAATTAAGGTAAGTTGGAGGAAAATCTGGGTGGGCCTTTCACACAAATGGAGGCAAAGAGGGTGAGGAGCTTGTTTAAGCTTGTTTGAAGAAGGCAAACTTTAGAGGGCATTCTTAGGCCCTGGTTTTCTTTAGAGGGCGACTTCAGTCTCTCTCATATAGCGCCCATACAACCTCCACGCAACCCAGTACAGCCTCACAAACCCCCTAGTCATTTTTAAATTCAATAATTGAATTTGAAAATTCTACAAAAATGCAGAATGAGAAGCTGAAAAACTTTGTCTTGAAACGTCAAACTGAAACATTCAGATACCTTCACAGTAAGTATTTTAACCAACCCCCGATTTCTCTCACGGGAAACTCACCTCGCTGAGCTTTACCTGCCCTTCCCCGCCGTTTGGCCCCTTCCCAAACCTTCACATGTAAGGGTCAATTTCCAAATTCACAAAAAACACCACAAGCAAAGCAAAGCAAAGCAAAGCATTAAACCAGACAAACAGACACACGCCCTCCCCACTCCCAGGACCATGTCCCGGTGGGCGCCTCCCTCGGCTCGGGCGCGCGCGGAGCCTGAGCGAGGGTGCGGTGAGTGCCGCGCGCGTCCCCGGTGCCCGGGCAACCGCCGGGCCCCGCCCCCTGCGCCTGGCCCCGCCCCCGGGAATGGAGCCCCGCCCTATCAGGGAGGGCGAAACAGAGGCCCCGCCCCTGACATTGACCACGCCCCTCATAGGCGGGTGAGGCGGAGGCCCCGCCCCCAGGGAGGGGAAGGCGGGAGGTGTGGGCGGGGCTGCGGAGCTGTTCCTGGTGCTGACCGTGCTCCCTCGCAGGGAGCGCGTCCCGGCGAGAGCAGCCGCTGCGGCCGCGGCCGCCCCGCCCGCCCCAGTGGTGCTGCCGGGAGCCGCCGCTGCCGAGGAGCGGCGCCTGACGCTGCCCCGCCGGCCCCTCCGGCAGTGGCGGTGGCGGCGGCGGCGCAGGCGTGCTCCCGCTCGTGCGCCTGCGCGGTGGCGCGCGGGCACTTCCGGGTTTCCCGGTTGTCGGAGGTGTGTCCCGGCGCATTCCCGGTGTGTCCTCCCCGCCCTGGCGGGGACCGACTGCTTCTTCCTGGGCTGTCCCCGGGCAGCCCCCACCGCTCCCGCCCCGACCCTGTCTCGGGGCCGCCATGCCGGCGGCGGCCGCCCCCCTCATCAGCTCCGTGCAGAAGCTGGTGCTGTACGAGACCAGGGCTGTAAGTAGCGACAACCCCTGCGCCGCTCCCGGGGCTGGGAGTGTCCTGGCTCCCCCACCGTGCTGGCTCGGCTCTGCCCGGGGCTGCTGCCTCGGCTGGGCTGCAGCTTGTCAAAAAACAGCTCCTTTACCTTCCTTCCCTTTTGCCGGGGCTTGGTTCGTTTTGGTCACATTCAAAACATCCCAAGAACTTGAAAAAAAAAAAAAAGTGTTTGAAGTTCTTGCCTTCACCGTGTTTGAGGCTCGTGACAAGCGAAGGAAGGGCCCCTGACACGCAGGTCAGCGCAGGGCCCTGCGGTGCTGGGTGCTGCCAGGGTGGCCCAGGAGGGAAGGCTGGGCCCTCCTTGTTGTGTCGTGTGGCTGTGTCGCACAGCCAGGCTCACAGTGCTCGGTCGTGCCAGGGGGAGTCAAAACCGGGCAGCTGAAGGCGTTCAGAACTGTTGAGTTCAGATTTGAATTAAGACTTCAGGATGGCTGAAGTGGTTACCACCCGCACCGATCTGTTTGCTTCTTCTGGCAGATTCCAGTCCTCGTCCTGTGAACAGCTAGTGAAACAGTTTCCAGAGTTTTCAGTCTGGCCTCTGGAAGTAAGCTGTTGAAGATTTTTAGCATTCCTTATGTCCTTTTGTGGAAACTGCAAGAACGTGTTATTCGCAGTACTTTTTTGCCATGGGCAAAATGGATTGGAGGCTTGTGTGGTAATTTCTGCTTTAACCATGTGATGAGCAGCATGTGAGTCAGAATCCAATTTCTTGATGTAAGTAACCTGAGATAATACCACTGTGTTTGTCATACTTAAACTCCAAATCAAATTTCTTTGTGTAGTTTCCCTCGTTTCATAGTCTGTTGGGTTTTTTAAACTTGAGGTGGTTTTGGATACGGTCAGGTACCATGGCTTTAGATGCAACAGTTAGCTCCATTTGAAGTTCAGATGTTATCTGTAGCGATAACAGAAAGATGTTTTGTACACTGAAGTCAGTGTAGCCTCCTGGAAACTTACCAAAGTGGCATGGATCGGATGACAGGGATGCAGTTTGGTTTGCCTGAATAGTCTCAGTATGAAGAAGAATCTGACTTCCAGCTTTGGTTCTGTCAGAAGTAGGTTTGTGCTTTTGAGCTAATTCCTCATTAAACAGCCTGTGAAACAGAGAAGGATTAAAACATGCAGAGTTAACAGTATAAGTAAATAAAAAAAATGAAGTTTACACTCCAGAAAGTCTTTCCAGAATGTTATTTTTTTTCTATGCCTAAAGGAATTTGATGGCTGCCTTATTCATCTTTCTCACTGCTGCTGGAAAAGGCTGATTGTTGCTTTATTTTCAGCCAAATTATCGCTGTATGTGAGGAGGGCCATGGGGAAGTGTGATTTCTGAATCAGGTCCTAAATTACTGAATTTAGTTGTTCTTGGCTCACAACTCACGCTGCCTCTCAGTTAGCTGAGTTTTGGCGTCTTGTGACCGGCATGCATGGATATCTGGCCTGCTCCTCTCTGAGCTGTAAGACTCAGTTCCTGAGAGACAACATGTTGTGTGCAGGGTCGATATTGTGCTCGATATTATCAGCTCGCCACAACTCTTTAGGTCTCTCAGGTTGATCCTCTTAGTTCAGGAACCACAGTCTTTTACATCTGGCCAGTGTTAGCTGGCAGTACCTGCCTGAATGGATGGGTTTGCCCATGCTCTGTTCTGTTCAGAATTCAGTAAGGGTCAGATCCTGATCACTCAGGAGGATCACTCCTGATCCAGCAGTCCTGATCACTCCAGGAGGCAAGATGGTTTCCCATCAGCTGGTAAAGGCAGTGGTTTGTGGATAAACGTGTGCCATTTGAAATATCTCAGCTGAGCAAGAGTGCCTCAAAGTTGTTCCTTTAGTCACTTCTTGTGAGTGATGAAAATGGAATGTTTTCTCTGAGTGTGGTTATATTCTTATTTAAAAAAATTTAAAACTGCAAATTAAAGCACATTGTGTTTTGATATTCAAATTCTAGTTCTTTTTTCAAAAGGAAAAATACAATAGGAATTATTTTGGTGTGATTATATGAAAAGACTTGATGCATTTAATAAACTCATAAACTGAGGCATATTAGAAGGAACTTCTGGAGATCACCTAGTCCAGCCCAGTGCACAAAGCAGCTTAAAGAAGAGCATGTTGCTTAGGGATGTGTTCAGCTGAGTTTTGAATACTTCCAGATACATAGATTTTACTGCCTTTGCAGACAGCATGTTCTAGTGCTTGACCACCCTTATGGTTTAAAAAAAAAAAAAAGAAAAGGTGAGAAGTTCCTTATATTAAATTGAAATTTTGCATGTTTCAACTTGTATTTATTCTAGTTCCATCCACCTGAAGGAATTTGTCCCTGTTATCTACACTTTCCCATTATGTAGATTTAGGCAGCAGAAAGATGCTGCCAGAGCTCTGGCTGAACAAACCCAGTTCTCTCAGTCTCTCCCAGTGCATCACGTGCTCTGTGCTCCAGATCATCTGGGTAGCTCTCTGCTGGACTCACTCACTCACTGTGGTGATGTCCCTCCTGTACTGGGGAGCCCGAAACTGGACTGCAGATTTGAACAGGTCACAGTCGCTGTTGCAGCTGATTCAGTGTCACACTGGGCTGCTGACAGTGGTTCCCACTTCTTCTCCCCGAGGTATCCCTCATGTGGTCTCCTTTGCATGAAATCTCGCAGTCATGCAGTTGGCAGCTCTGACAGTCACTGGTATGGTGTGTCACCCAGACATAAAAATGAATAGCTTTCTCCTGGTTCCAGTTGCTCTTCTGATTTCCCCAAGGCCAAAGGCTTGCTAGATGGAGCATGTGGGATCCGGAGTTGTATCAGATACAGGGTAATGTGAAACTGTGTCCTAAGATTCCTGGTGGAGACCTTGAGTGGGCAAAGAAGGGATGACTTAAGTTGTCAGCAGTGGGAGAAACAGTGGAGTTTACATTGGTCATACTACTTATTTCTGTTAAACTTCTCTGTGTTAAGGCAGGAAGAGACGAAATGGATGAGAAAGTGGAAAAAGTGATAATGGTTTAGAGAGGGCTTTTAATTTTTTTTTTAAAGTTAAAAATACAGTAGTATTATTTAAGTCAAACAGGAAAGGCTCTGGTAGTGTTATTGGAGCCAAATGTGAGACTGCTAGAGGTGTGGAGAACTGAATTCACAGTGTCAATTGAATCAACAGAGAGTGAAATTCTATATTTTCTGTTCATGTTTATATTTAGGATTCTTGCTAAAACCTACCTTTAAAACTGATGCTTTGGATAAGTAAATGCCATGGAGATGTTAACTGTATCTCCTGTTGGTCTGGGGAAATGTAAGGCTTGTTTAGAAGTAGTCAGAAAGATAAACTGAAGGTTGTATTCAGATCAATGTCAATTAATTTTCATTTTATGCATATATTAACTGCTGAAATGCACACTAGAGGGCACTAAAGATATTTCAGCACTATGACTAATAAGAGATGAAAGATATTTTCCTCCCTTCTTCAGGAGAAGATGGAACTTTTGTGTATTCCCCCAAATGGAGCCCACCTGAAAGCTGTAGTTTAGTTCACTGGAAATTATCATTCCCCTAAGGCAGTGTGACTTTGAACAAGTCAATTTGTATCATCTCTGTAAAGGCATATCACTTGCCTATCTTTCAGGATATTATGAGGCTTAATTAATAATATTTTATTCTAATCAGGTTTTTCTACAGTCTCCATCTCCACAGTATTCATATGACTTGCACAAGCTTATTAAGCAACGTGACCTGCATAAATACCTGTAGGTTTTTCTGCCCTTTTTTTTTCTGTGTAGGAACTATGTGCATTTGTTTTATTTTAAATTTAATTTATTCTAATAATAATAATAATAAATGTAAACATTTTTATAGTAACAAACCCAAGGTTTGCTTATTTAATGCTGAAGTTAGTCTGTGATCAAATTGAAGAAACTGTAATGTAAAATATGACTTTACAGAAAAAGCTACAGAATTTTTACTGAATTATGAGGTGAACTGATTTATATAGATGGTTATCTGGTACATTTAAAAAATATTGGAAGTAGTGAACAGCTGGACAGCCATTAGATACCATAATTTCTAGCTAGAAGTGGCTGTGCAATTTGTTCTCTCTGTAGCAGTTTTATTAGCAGAAGATGGCCCCTTTCTGCTGACTGTCCTATTCCCTGTGTCATGGCTTTGTAGGAATGGTAATTATGTAGTGGAGCAGAGGATGGAGTAGGCACAAGAGAAGGAGTTTTATGAAAACTGGAAAGCTCAGTTTCTGTCTTAAATGTCTTGATATACTGACAGATATATGGCAATAAAATAGAGAAACTTAATCAACTGGTGAATGTGGGATCTGAGAGCATTTCTGAGTAGGGCAGGTGCTTTGTGGAATAGCAGTAATGGGAACATCACAAGTTTTGAAGGATGTGTGCCATTCAGGAAGAACAAAAATAAAGTTCAAAAGGGGTAGCACCACACTGCACGTGAAAGATGTGCCTTCAAATGTCTGCCTAAAGTTGTTCTGGTAACATATTTTTGATTTCTTTTGTCCTGTATTATCCCGGGTGTCATCTTTTAATCACTAGATTAACAGGAGGGAGGTATACTTGGAGATTTGGTTCTGTTGAGAATCCACCTTTCTGGATGGGCTGGTGATGAGGGGCTTGTGGATAAATGATCGTAAATTGATGTATTTAAAGGTAAGGGTTCTATGAAAAAAAAGGCATTTATTTAAATTTAACAAAGAATGAATAAAAATAGGCATTTTCTATTGCTGTTTTTTATTATTAAAAAATAAGTTTGTTATGGCCCTAAAACTAAATGGATGTTTTTCCTTGTTTAAAGTAAGACTTTACTCTGAGTATGAATGTACTGGACAAGGGGTGAAAAGAAACTGAGTAACAGGAGTGGGGTTATGAAAAAGGGATCAATAGGTGTTGAGATAGAAATAAAATTAAATATACTAAACAGTGGAATTAATGTAAATATTTTCAAGTTGCTGAAGTCAAG